GCCATTTGATGTTATGGTACAAATAAAAAACACAAGATTTGGGTTATAATATTTCACTCAATGTCAATATGAAGATCTCTTTATTATTTATTATACCTAACTGCATTTTCCGATGTATTTACCCAACTTTTCTCTGCATGTTAGATGTTAAAAACAAAAGGGAAAAAAATCCATTAATCTCCATTGTATTGGAGTCGAGTCTCATATATGCATAACGTAAATATTTTTTGACAAAAAACTCAAGAGACACTGAAAATAATTATGAATAAGGCATACATTGATTTATTGAGATCAGATTTGACACAGACTGTAATAGTACATTTTTGGAGCAGAGTTTTGCGTTATGCACTAAGAGGATGTCGGCATGGTCAAACTTGGAGTTTAATACCTGTTAGCATACATTTAGTGAAGGCTTTGGCTTTGAAGTCCCTCCAAACGTTCACCATTGACATAGAATGGATCATAAGCTCACCATTGAAGAGGTTAAACCGACCCTTTAATGTTACCAGCCCCCTGCTTTTGTTTTTCTAATTGAGACTAAGTTAATATAAACTGAGCTTTAAAAAAAAGTAATCATTAAACCGTTTTCATCACTCACCGTTTTTGAGTTAAACTGTCCAAAAGGCCTCATACGTCCCCTCTTGCCATTCTTTCTCCTGGAGAATCCCCCAGAACCTCCATGCGAGGCGCTCGTATCTGTCTCCTGTGTGGCTCCAGTATCCAAAGGAAACTCATTCTTGGTGGACATTTGTCTCTTAGTCTCATCAGTCAGAGGAACAAGATGAGGCGGGCTGCCCCACCCAGAATCTCTTTGCATTCCTGTTCTCAGCCTCATACCTGACTCTGCAGATGGAATATGCAGGCAAGCGATGTGGATAATAAAAAAGTATTTCATTTTTGGGAAATGGAAATCCATTGGACAATCTACAAGTAACACCAAACTATTTCCCCAGCTAAATTCAGCAGCATTGAGGCCATATTTATATTTTACCATTCAAAACTCCGCCTCTGCCACACCCTGCTGTGTCCTGATGATCCCCTATTTCCAAGGGACACATGTCCGTTGTTACAGAATATAATGATCCATCCAAGACTATGACAACCAGGTATATTGATATTTATTTCCATCTTCAAGAATTAGGTTGATCCAAACTGAGGCCTTTGTAGTTTGATGAGCTGCTGATGTTGAAGTCATGTGACCAAATAAGTGAGCGGCCTGCAGCATTTTGATTTGTCCGAGTGCGACTTTAGAGCAGCAAAACTGTTTGGCAAATCAGATTTTAATGATGGATAATAGGGCTTTGATTCATGTTATGTAATGAGTTGTCATATTTGACACCTTCAAAACTAATATGCATCGTATAGGGATTTTAGGCATATCTGAATTCTGCATTTATTGCCCACATTTTTATATTTTAAATGATACTTTATACCTTACACATTTCAGTGGAAAAAGATTGTCTCTTTAAATGCCTCCCATCTAGGCCTGCTGGAACTTCCTAACTGACTCTGAAAAGTCCTTGAATGCAAGAGAACTTTAAACAACGCTTCCCCAGTTAAAAACATTTCTGCTGTGGTTGGATAAACCAAACAGTTTATGATACAAACAAAAAGGAACTACAACACTGGACACTTTAAAATGATGTATTGCGGATAGTTTGTAAAGTTTTGCGAAGCCTTCAAATGTCAGTAAGCCTTTTGCCTGCTGGATCCTAGAGCTGCTATACATTTGTAGAAACAATGCATCAAATGAAAATGTGAAAGGTGTCTCTGGTTATCTCCTGAATCTGCCACTCTCCTTGACTACACAGAGCTTTATGGTGAGTTTCAGCTCATTGTTTAGCTGTGCAGCCCACAACTTGTTTTTTTATACTCAGTGTCATTTTCAGCGCAGCAAGAAGCTGTTAAAAGAGAGAAACCAAAATACCTTATCAGCAGCAAACAGCAGACAGCCACAATCGGACAGTGGTGAACAAAAACGCTGCTCCTGTGGCTTGGAACCAGCTGCAAATTGAGCTGAAACTCAGAGAGCTGGTTTCATTAAATGTAATTTAAATTGTCTGTAACTGTGCTGTTACCATTCTTGGGCCAGGACTCTCTTGAAAAAGAGATTTGTAATCTCAATGAGACATATCCTGGTTAAATAAAGGTCAATTAAAATAAAATAAAAAGTGGAGCATATAGCAACTTTTTTCAATGTTATTTTTCCCATTGGATTTTAGAACATTGCAGAAAATAGGATCTTTTAGACAGAAGGATAGTTTCAACATATTAACGTCCAATACAAGTTGAAGTGTAAATGTGATCGCCAGACGTAAATAGCTAACAAAATGCTATCAACAAACGACATGACTTCACTTCAACACAGCTAAATGAAAGGCAGCACATTTTTGGCAAGATGGCGTTTAGTATTCTTATTCTTATACCCCTGGTTTTCTACTGCCTTTTCTATGGCATGTAAAAGCTTTAGACATTTACCATTGGGAGTTCACTGATGCAACAACTTTGCACCAAACCATAATCCCCTAATATGCATGTCCTTACATAACCTCAACTAAATGTTAAACATAGCCACGGTTTGTACGGAAAGAGGAAACAGATCTCGACACAGATAGCTAAATAAAACCTCTTATGTGTACATAATAAAATGTCCTGTAAAAATATGAGGAAGTGTTTTAATTAGTGTTTATAGCTAAGAAAGTACGGTCTGATTTGGTTCTTCTTTTTTAATATGGTAGTTCAAAAGGTCATGGACTAACCATGGGTCAATTCTGCTTTTAAATACATGCTCCTGCTTGACAAGAGGATAGAAACTAGCATTCATAAGCAGTAAATAGCTAATAATTCAACATATTAAGTGTCAAGGATGTTTATAAGGACTCTTATTAAATGTCTTGAGCTGTTACTGAGTCATGCATTAATCTTAAGGCTTCAATGCTCTCTAATAACAAGGTGTCGTCATGTATCGGCTGGATGTGGGTTCCAGATTGTCTTTGGGTTGGTGGGTGTTTGTTAATGCACATTTACAGTAATGAAATGCACTGTATACAAATAATGAACTTGCCTCTGCAACTTTTGGCTTTTTATTTAATTTATAACTTGTTTTAGTGCTATTGCCAAAACAAAATGCAAAAAAACTGCAATTTCTTGCTCAAATGGTCATCTTTTGTCCCTTTAACATGATACCTTAAAGGTGAATAGGGGGCTTTCTTTGAACTGCAGGGTTATATATCACTATGAAAACATACCCAAGACCATTCTTAATGATTTGTCTTTGTTTTAGTGCAAATAACCAAAGTTTAAATGTAAAATAAACATCTAAATGCGCATTTCGGATGCTTTGCACCAGTGTGAAAGAAGACGTGATGGAAGAAAATTACCCAAAAACGAAAGGTATGTATATTTGCCTGTGGTGTTTTGTAGTCTCTCACATGGTAACCTTGGAAAAATTGTCTATCCTCTGTTCATTCTCTGTAAATAAACCACTCCTGCCTACTCATATTTTCACAGAGGCAGCACTCAAACAGATTAGCCTGTTGATTGAAAACGATGATGTAACTTCAGTGTGATCACACATATTCTCCACTGAGGACTCGTGATCAAAGAGATACAAAATGTTTACCATTGTCCATTGACATTACTGATATTGTGTTCCCATAGAGACCAAGACAGAGCACAGGATGTCTGCTCAGGTGCTGAGACTCTGACCAATATCAGTCCCAGTGTTGTGGTGTTGTGCACCAAAACACACGGCTGTGATCAAATGAATGGTCTTACACTTCCAAACAACGCCATTGAAATTATATAGGAGGCAGAGAGAAAGGCAGAACACCTGCTACCTGCTCTGTTTGCTCGGCTTTCACTTATTAGTCCTGTGCTTTATAGGCTGATGGATGTTTAGTATATTGACTTCTGGGATCCCAGCAACATATCATCACACTGTGGGCATGTGGCTTCAAAATCCCTCTGGGCAAATTCCCACTGGAAATGGTGACTAGAAATGTTTAAGAAAAAACTATTTCATGTCTTTGTCAATACACCCAGCTAAATCAACACATTTTTAATCAGTGGCGTAAAGTAACTTAGTACATGTAAATAAATTATTGCTATAATTGTAATCAAAACATATAATATATTATTCTTAAATGGGCCAATTTGCATAATAAGTATTGTTGGTACTTTAAGTAAATATTCATGCTTGTTTACTTTGACTTGCAATGCAGGACTTTTACTTTTTACAGAGTATTCCTACACTCTGGTACTTTCACTTTTACTTCAGTAAAAGATCTGAGTAATTCTCCAACCTCTATAAATCAGCGGAGGTGGGAGAAGTAAAGTAAGAGTAGAAGTACCAGAGTGTAGGAATACTCTGTTACAACTAAAAGTCCTGCAATCAAAATGTCGCTCAAGAAAAAGTACACATTTATTAGCATCAAAATATACTTCAAGTACCAAAACTGAAAGTGCTCATTAAGCAGAATGCCCCATCTAAGAATAATATATATTATATGTTTTGATTATAATTATTGATGCATTAAAGCTGGTGAAGGTGCAGTTAGTTTTAATTACTTTGTAAACTTCATGGTAGCTTGTGAATGTTACTCCAGGTGTAACTAAAGTCTGACTTATTATGTGTTGATTATATTTCATATCATTAATCCAAATCTGCAAAGTAACTAAAAGTACAAAATAAACTAAGTGGAGTAAAAGTACACGATTTACCTCTGAATTATAGTGGAGTAGAACAAGTACAAAGTAGTAATTGAAATGCTCAAGTAAGGTACCTCAAAATTGTACTTAAATACAGTGCTTAAGTAAATATACTCTATTACTTTACACCACTGCTGATTACATTTTTTTTGTGATTATATCAACCTAAGACAACCATCTTAAGAGTGACATTGGTGCCCCGTAGTGGACAGTTACCTCTGCTATGGTACGGTTCGTAATTGGTTCTGGGGGTTCGGTAATCTCCGGCTTGAATCGTACATATGCGAAAGCGGCCGAGCTGGAGCGGAGCTGTCCGGAACATCCGGCTGTAGCTCCTCAACATAAACAGCTATGGCGGAGGCAGCAGCAGCGTCTACGGCGGCTTCACCAGGTATAGGAGGTTGGACCAAACACGTAACCTGCAGGTAAGACAGGACAAGGGACTATTTAGATATCGAAGATGATAATGTCGTTTGAGGCTAAAATAGCGGTGACACGGTGTCTCGCGCGCGACTGACAACAGCGTCGTCTGAGGCTCAGCTGTTGGCTAACTAGCTGTAGCTACTAGTGTTGTTATGTTCGCAGTGTTATGGTCACAGCCTGCTGGGCTTCTAGCTTAGCAGCCTGCATACTAGCTACCCTTTCAATGCTCAACTCGACTAGCATTAATGCCACATTATAATGTTAGACCACGACTGTTACACAACAGTGATAACTCCCTCGCAGTCATTTGTTAACGTTTAACTGTGACTAACACACGATTAACCATCGAGTTTATCTGGTTGGGTCACTTTAAATGTACCATTATAATAGCCAAAGCAGTTACTAGTCGCCAAATCCAAATATACTAACGTTATGAACCCAATTGTTTGTTGTCACCTTGCCTAAGATGGGCTTTATTTGTGAAAGTGAAAGACGACATTGACGCGCGGTTGTCATGTTCAGCTCTCTCAATTTAGCTAACAACTTTCATTTTGACGTACTGATGTGAACATGAACTAGTGTTTTCCGTTCAAATTCCAGTAGGCCTGGACATCTTTTATGAACTAGACAACTGTCTAATTTGTATTTTCAGGTATTTCATGCATGGTCTTTGCAAAGAAGGAGAGAACTGTCGATATTCCCACGACCTGACCAAAAGCAAACCAGAAGCCATGATTTGCAAGTTCTTTCAGAAGGGAAACTGTGTGTTTGGGGACCGTTGCAGGTAAGGACACAACTGAAATCTAAGTTGTAAATGCAACACTTCAGTCTAATGCTGATGTAATGAATAGGCAGGTTCATGTTTGTACAGAACTGGCAGCTGCCTCGGCCTATAAAAGTGCTTCCTGACAGTTGTCAGATGAGATGCAGTATAACCTTCTTTCTCAAACTGGCCTTGCTTTCAGCCAAATGACAGCGCAGCAACTATCCTGGCTGGGTTTTCAGTGTGGCTGCCTGCTCCTCCAGTGGGTTGGACACCTGAGACTGTTTTAACATGTCAACATGTTGTTTGTCTGTGGCAGCTCCATGTAAGTCCAAGGAACTAGAACGGCATCTCAGCATTGCTCAGCTTTCTAGGTTCTGCGTTGATTCTTTGTAGAGCTGGTGTTCAACATGTCAGCACAAGCCTCATTCTGGGTTTTTCATTGTTTTTTTCCCATAATCCTGCCTATAACTTAAATCAGACCATTGTGAATATGATTGTTTTTGTTTTTGCTCCTGTTTGGGCTGCAACCATCAACTACCCTCATATCATCTCATCTGCTAATATTGTCCTCATGGGCACGATAGTGTTTTCAGGATGGCATTGCTAAATGAGTATGTGTGAGTTTGTGTGTGAACGTTTATCACCCCTGTTGAGCAGGTGGTTCCTTTCAAGATTCAAAGGCGTTATTGTCACAGCTCGACAATACTTAGTGCAGACCATTTTCTATTTATTTGTAATTTTTGAAAATGAAATATTTATGTATATATTTCAAAACATCACAAGGTTGGCATTCATTTCCACATTCAAAAGATATATTTTTAAATTGGCAACATATCGGCTTTCATCAAGGACAGTATGTTCAATTTCAATAAGCAACAACATATAATAATGTGTTTCCAAACACATCCTATCTTCCCATTGATGCCAGCTGATTATGGTACTGGACTGAAACCAATGTGAACCAGTTGCTTCTCTAAAAACATGTTCCATGCTTTGAAATGGTGAGCAGTATTTATTCATAGTAAATGGGCTCGCACATGAAATGGTATGGTCCTTTGAGAAGCAGATTAGGCTCCATGCCTGTAGCCAAGCTTGAATGTGTACCCAGACATGACCAGCGAGCGTGTACAGACGGTGTCTGCTCCATGTCTGGTTTCAGGAGGGTCCCCATAGTTACAGAGGAACCCGATGACCAGCCCAACAGCAGCAGGGGCGCATTGGTTACTTGCATACTTGATTATTTTTCATGAATGGTCTGCTTACTGCCTTTTGGTTAGGTGTATACATCACTGAGCTGTTGTTGTTGTTGTGTTGATAAGTCACATTCCTCCATCCTTGTGAAGGGGCTGCAGTGAGGAAGGTGTCCTCATTATATCTGTGCCAGTCCTGAGAAAGGCTCTCTGTGGGGGTTTATTATGGTTGAATTCCTCAGGCTGCGTCTATTGTGATGGGCTCTGTCTCGCTCTCTCACTCTCTCTCTCTCTCTCTCTCTCTCTCTCTCTCTCTCTCTCTCTCTCTCTCTCTCTCTCTCTCTCTCTCTCTCTCTCTCTCCCCTGCTGCCAGAGTGCACTGCAGCCTGCATGGCAATTGCATAACACTCTGTTTCCCTGATCCCCCCCTCTTCCACCTCCCCTACCCTGTTGCCGGGTTCCTCAGGTTCATTCTGCTGCAGCACCCACATCTCTCATTTATTCATGCATACTTCCCCCCCCCCCCTCCTCCTCCTCCTCTGGGAACGGACTGGTTAACAGTGTGTTCTGATGGAGCGCTGGTGGAGGCTGAAGGAGAGAGATAGGCCAGTTGCTCCTTTTGTACGGCTTTTAGTCATGCTTTATGGTTGCTATGGAGTTGAGTTGCTTTGTTTCTACACTGGCAGACAGGTCCATGTGGACAGATGAGGGTCTGTTAGCATCAGGGATGTGCCATTCATTGTCATTGTGATTCTGGTGTATACATCCATGCTGCTATATCTATGTTACGAGGAGATCAGCTGCATTTAAGCCCCTTTTTTCATTATCCTGTGTCCATAGGAGATACACAAATGTGTGATGGAAAGGAAATGGAACAGTTATTTTTATCCTCAAATATACCCTTTTTAAAAAAAAAAATCTAGTGCTTATATTAAGGTTTTTTAAAATGAGTGAGAACCTGCTAAAAATAGTCAATGGACTCGTTTCCAGTGCACGTGCTTTGTTTGTTTTCTGTTTTTTCTCTCTCCTCTAGTTTATGGTCACCACACGTACAAGGACAATGCCCATATTTAGTGCTATGTATGCTGACAATGTACAACAGTACAGTCCCTTTCAACAGCACGCAGCGTTAGTAAACAGTGGTTACTGTCCGTGACTGATCCATACTCTTTTCTTTTTATCTGTCACTTATTCAGACTCTCTTTTAAACCAGAGATAGTGATTGTTGTAACTGTGGAAAAACAAACAAAGACAGTTTTCCTTTTGTTCCTGACGAGTTTGAATACATTTAGTTTTACAAGGATCTATGAGGAAATGTTTAAAGTACTCTTATTGTCAGTGGAGTGTGGTAAATGGGAGGGAAGTAAAATAATTGTATGTTTTTGTCATTTATAATAATTCATCCAAATCCATTTATTTATTTCACACTTAATACCATGTAGCTTTGTTACCTGTGACATATTTTTTAAATGTATCAAATCAAGACTACTCGGCGATGTTGAAATAATATGGAATTGTGGATATGAAGAATTGTGACACCTCTATAAAATGTATATAGACAATGGGAAAGAAGAGAGCTATTTTGACTTTTTTAATCTGGGTAAAGTGTCATAACAAGGTTCAAGGTTCTTTATTGTCAAACTAACATAGCTACAGAGTAATTATGTCGTTGAAAATATTAGGTCACAGGCTTCTCCAACAATGCAACACAATAATACAGATAAGCAGACGATATTAAAACAATATTAAAGTATATTATATTAAAAGTAATACAAAATAGTTTTTTTTTAAAGTGATAAAAAAAAGTGGAATAGTGCAATACGAGTCCATATACAAGTTATTAGAATTATATATTAGATAATAGATAAATAATTACTAAGTAGCAGATGAATGTTATGAAATAGTTTCAGCAGTTCAGTTGTTTAACAGTCTTATTGCCTGCGGGATGAAGCTGTCTCTGAATCTGGTTGTTCTTGTCCGGATGCTGCGGTAACGCCTGCAGCAGACTGAACAGTTTGTGGCTGGGGTGATGGGGGGTCTTTTGTAATCCTGAGGGCTTTCTTCTTGAGCCGCTGGGAGTAAAGGTCCTCCATGGATGGCAGCTCCGTCCTGGTGATGTTCTCTGCAGTTTTCACCACCCTCTGTAAAGCCTTACGATTAAGGGCGGCGCAGCTGCCGTACCAGGCCGTGATGCAGCCAGTCAGGATACTCTCTATGGTGCACCTAACAATATGGTAACCACAATTAAGTCCAAAGTCATTTTCATCCCATTCATGCATGTGTGAGGGACCAAGTAAATAACGGTTTATCAACTGGAAAAAAACAAATATAGCCTTTGGAATAGCTCTTATTCAAAAGTAGAAGCTTTCTTCATTCACCTTTTTTGTAAGTTTGTATTACAGCTCTTGGATATAACTTCCCAGCTTTAGTGCTGTGGGACATTAGATGGTTTGTACCGTAACAAGTGTGCTCATGTTTGCCTCCTCAGGTTTGAACACTGTAAACCGGAAAAGAACGAGGAGTTGCCAACCACAGAGACGCTGCCGCTGCCCACTGCCTCGCCTACCGGCTCATCAGATCCAGAACCCAGTGGGCCAACGCCTGGTTCAGGGGCACAAGACTGGGTCAACGCTGCCGAGTTCGTTCCAGGACAACCATACTGTGGACGGGGTGAGGGACCAGCTTGACATCAATATGCTAACGATGCGCTAGGTCTTCCGTTATTACATCCTGCCAGCTCGCTAACCAGCAGCCAGATAGCTAACCTGATGTGTTCTGTACTCCTTTGAGACATCTTGAAGTCAAATGCTTGGTGAGGTTTGAAATGTTTCCTGCCTCGCACGCATATGTTTTATATCGTCTTTTGTGAAACATTACAGAGTTAATGTCATCAGGTTTGCCATTAGCGTTAGCGCATTAGCTCTGGATGCAACTTCCTCTCCACTTTGTTAACCAGTGCAGGGCATGCAAGTGTTATTATTTCTGGAGATGACACACTGTTGTTTGTCAGCAGTATTAGACATGTTGAGACAGAGAACCATCTCTTCCCCCTATCAATTCAAGCCAAGGCTAACGCTGTATCAACAGTTATGAACCCACAGGCTTCTGTCTACCTTGTGTCGCCTAGTGGAGATTCTGACAACTGGCAACATGTTTGAGATACAGAAAGTACAGAACGCTGGGAAATGAAATGCCGGACAATCTTTAACAAAAAGTACCGACAAAAACGTCTGAACTGAATCAAAGCCTGGTTATTCTCCTCATTGAGTCTTCTATTAATCCTTTTTGCCCCTCATGTTTTTGATATACAGTACCTTTGCTGCATTGGTCTATTTGGCTGGGTTTATTAAGCTTTTAAATGCACTTCAAAGTTATATGTAGTTTGTTTGTTTTTCAACCAAGTGTAAATGACACTAATACAAGAGTAGCTCAAACTATGAATATGTTAAGTGCAAGTTGAAACTTAACATTCTGAAGCCTGTCTGATAAGTTAAGGTCCTCGGATCAGATTTTCCTCATCTGCTGGAGAAGGCATTGAAGTTATTTTTCCTCTGTGTCACTAATGGCGCGTTTCCACTTCAGGCCTCGCTCGGCCTGGCTCGGTTTGGTTAGGCCTTATTAGGCCCGGCTCACTTTAATGCTGCGCTTCCATTACAGTTTAGGAACTGGGGCAGTTACTATAGTAACGCAGTGTAGGCGGAGCCGTGACGTCATCTTCAATGAGCGCCCCAAAAAACAACACAGCCGTTAGCTCTTAGCACTCAGAGCTCACAGCTCCACATATCTGTTCAGAAACTAGACAAAAGTTAAACAAGTACAAACCACAGACTGCCTGTGTCATGGCGAATACAGTCGCTGGTTTATTTATGTCTGTATAGGCCGTTGTTGTGAGTGGACGGTCGGAGCATATATAACGTTAGCTTAGCCAAGCTCCATTAGAAAACACGCATTTTAAAAGGATTTTTCGCCTGCCGTCTTTCTGCAGACTTGTCAAAGCATTAATTCATGGTTTTTACTAACCGGTATCAGTATGTTGTTACTTCGGCATCATTTTGAAACGTGTATTACAATTAAATCACGGTCAAATATGTTCATCTTGTTGTAGTTGTATCCCCCTTGCCAGCGATTCTCTCTCTAGTTTAGCATACTCAGCCCGACTCAGCCTGGTTGTTCCTGGCCCTAGAACCACGATTTAGTCGGGCCATAAAAAAGGTGAAAAAGTAGGCCAAGTGGAAGCGCAACCAAAAACGGGCCCCGCTCGGCTCGGCACGCTTAAAGCGAGCTACCCGCTGCAGTGGAAACGCGCCATAAATAACTGTCATAATATTTCCCCAACAGCTGAGCCAGTGAAGGGAGAGACCTCCGTCCCTCTCATCGAGGAGTTGGACCGGGAGGCGTCGCAGGACAACAAAGCGCTGAGGAAGCAGCTCTGTCCGTACGCGGCTGTCGGAGAGTGTCGCTATGGCATCAACTGTGCGTATCTCCACGGCGACGTGTGCGACATGTGCGGCCTCCAGGTTCTCCATCCCACCGACAACGGCCAGCGCTCCGACCACACCAAGGTAAGGGTTACAGAAATAACCATATCTGTGGAGCCAGTTGGAATACTTCCTGGAATACTCTTTACTCTCTGAACGGGAATCATTATTAGTGAATTATAAAGCAAAAATGGGTCATTTTAAACAATGAAAGCAAAGGTCGGATAAAAATGTAAAGCAGTTTCTGAAATGTTTTGTACACTGCTTTTTGAGAGAGAAGTGAGATATAAAAGATTGAATATGACATTTCTCAGCACCAGATTTTAGTTGTGTATTTTTCTGAGTCACCTGCCACGGTCCCACCTTCAAGGAGAGCAGATCTGCAAGACTAGCAAGCAGAGGGGGACAAAACACAGAAATCAAAGACAAAAGGACTTTATAATACCTTTACAAGTTACAAAATTGCGTTGTATCGGAACAAAACTTGAGTCAATTCATTTCCTGACCAGGACCATGGCTGCTTCTGTGCAGTATTTAAATGATATGATGTGGAGTATTTGTTACTCTAGTCTGAACAGGATTTTAACATTAGAGACAATATGAACACTTTATCAGCGGGAGATGGATGTTAAATGTAGGAACGGTCATGATGAGTTGGTTTAACTGTTCCCAGGCATGCATCGAGGCCCATGAGAAAGACATGGAGATTTCGTTTGCCATCCAACGCAGCAAAGACATGATGTGCGGCGTGTGCATGGAGGTGGTGTTCGAGAAGGCCAACCCCAGCGAGCGGCGCTTCGGCATCCTCTCCAACTGCTGCCACTGCTACTGTCTAAAGTGCATTCGCAAGTGGAGGAGTGCCAAGCAGTTTGAGAGCAAAATCATCAAGTGAGTCACGTACGCACGGCTATGTGGGGTTTGGAAGGAATCTCAAACTACATGATACATTAGTTTAAATCTTTATCTCTAGGTGATTGATCTGTTCATCAACAAAGTATTTTCTCTTGAGTTGGCGTTTGTAGAACATTAAAACATGTCAAAAAAGTTGTATGTGACGCACATAGTATTTACAGGTTGAATTTGATTCTAATATCAGAATAAAATACATGATTTATCCCAGGGGGAATTGGATTTCTGGACAGTTGTTCCATTTAAGAGTGAGTTGAATAAAAGATTTAGAGAAATAACAAATATTTTAACATAAGAAATGAAAAATGTTAAAGAACTGAGTCCAATAAAGAATAAAACCAAAATGTAAATAAACGTAAGAAGTTGAAGTAATTTGTTCAAAGTGCAACATTATTTCGAAAGCTCAAACTCGACTCTTACGTTGTTTATGTGAATGTTTTTTACCTGATAAAGGAATATAGGCAGCTCTTGGCACGCAAATAGAAGTTGATTACCATGTTGAAATGCTCTGGTCACGATACCACAGGTGACCAAGTATCTTTTCTACCCTTTTTTCCACAGGTCTTGCCCAGAGTGTCGAATCACATCTAACTTTGTCATCCCAAGCGAGTACTGGGTGGAGGAAAAAGAAGACAAACAGAAACTCATCCAGAAATACAAGGACGGCATGGGGTACGCAGATCATCTCCTCACACACACACACACACACACACACACACACACACACACACACACACACACACACACACACACACACACACACGTACTATGTATACATCACTGCAGGGGACATTACATTGACTTACATGCATTTCCTGGAGACTTATCCTAACCTTAACCATAACCAACCCTAATCCTACACCTAACCAAGTCTTCACCCTAAAATTAATAATTCCCCTCATGGGGACCTCCAATTTGTCCCCATAAGGGAGGCGAGTCCCCACACGTGACTGTGTAAACAGATTTAGGTCCCCACAAGTATAGTAATGCTAGGACACACACATACACACACACACACACAGTTTTACACTACTACTTTGTGTCTACTGTGGGAAACAACACATCAGAGAAACAGTGAGTGGTCTCTTTTAATTCATACTGAAGGCAAAGCAATTTTATTTATATAGCACTTTTCAGCATGTGGCGATTCAAAGTGCTTTACAGATTAAAAGCAATTACAGATTAAAAGCAAGTGAAGCAGTGTTTGTTTTTTAGCGCAGGCGATTGAAAGCGTATTATTTCCCCTGCAGGATGGAGAAGACATTTTTTAATAGAGAGCCGTTGCAGGTGGATGTGAAGAGAAGCGTCAGAGGAATATGATGCTGAATCTGCGGGAGTGGGTGGTAATGGTGGGAAGCTAAACAGGAAGTGGGCCGATTCAGATTTCACCGCGGAACATTTGATGTTTATTTAAAGAAACTCCACAGAGAAAACGTCCATCTCTGATGCTATCTAACTTGCTGTTTGTCCTCTCTTCTCCAGGAGTAAACCGTGTCGGTACTTTGACGAGGGCCGTGGAACGTGTCCTTTCGGCTCCAATTGCTTCTACAGGCACGCCTTTCCCGACGGACGGCTGGAGGAAGCGCAACCTCAGCGAAGACAGACGGGGTCCAGCAACAGGAACAGGGTAACTCACTCCAAACAGTCAATGCCATTTTAACAGCAATAGACCGAAAAGACATCAAACTGTGGAAGAAGGCAACACCTCCTCCGCTCTAGCGCTCTCTGCTGGATGTGGGAATGATATGCAGAGCGACCATAAACCCTGAAGTTAAAACGGCTTTGCTTTAAAGGTTCTGTTTTGAGAACACCTGATCATGAAGTGAAAATCCACGCGTTTAAATAAAAATCACAGTCAATCCGTGGTTCTACTCGGTGGCAATAGTCACCACCTGCTGTACAAACTTTTCGATTAAAAAAACAGGGACAGGTTGTATGATGCGTGATGGAAGTTCCTAAAATCAGACAAATCAACAACCTTTTAAGATATTTAAATAAGATTAGGAGATTTATTTTTGTCAAAATGGAAATCCAATGAAATTCGTGACACATTAAATACTTGATACAATACAAAAAGATACTGAGGCACAATTTTAAGACTGACATTTAGATCAGAGGTTGCGAGAGCACGCTTGCGAACTGTCAGCGGGGGTGGGGGTGCGCACGCTCGTGAACTGTTAGCGCCGTGTTATGCATGCCCACTGCACCTCGTAGGAGCGCGCACAGCGTGAAGCCAAAACTAAGACATTTCCATGATTTGTACGGATTGGAAACGGTATCATTTCCTTTTTGGCAGGCATGCATAACACGGCATAACACCGGAGCCTCGCTGCGGGGAAACTTTGGAGCTGTTCCGAGTTTGTTCTAATCTGTCAAAATGACGGACTGCTTTCAGATTTTTGCGTCATTGTTAAAAGAAATCCGTCATAGATGGAAAATATTCGGTTAACGCGACCTCTGATTTAGATATATATTCCAAATAAAAATTGGTATCATAACTTTCACTGCGAGTAGCTTGTCATTACTAAGATGTGTCTATTATTTCCTTCCATAGGTAGAAAAATAAAAAGCCTGCTGATGAGTGGTGAAGAAGTATTAATAAGATAAGACCTGAAGAAGTCACTTATTTATAAATATTTTAGTTCTGAAGAAAAGCAGCAAATGAAACGTGCATTTATTTATTTTTCTCTTCGTTGTTTTTATTGAAATATTCCCAAATGTTTTCGTACAGTGTTTTTTTAACCATTCAGAGTTTTTACAAAAGTCGAAAGAGAGCCACTTACACATAATTTAAAATGCTGAAAATCGTATTGACCCTTTTTTAAGTGTCTCCTCACATTGATGTTAAAGTGTTTTTGAAGGTAAAAATCATCTTGCCAGCAGCAATGGATTTTATGCCCAGACTCTGAGAATACTCCTCTCCCTTCTCCTCCCAGAACTCGAGGCGAACCCCGCTGTGGGACATCTTTGACGAGCGGGAAAGCACCGACTCGTTCGACAACGAGGACGAGGAGATGGTGACGTTCGAGCTGAGCGAGATGCTCCTCATGCTGCTCGCCGCGGGGACCGACGACGAGGTGACGGACTCAGAGGACGAATGGGACTTGTTTCACGAGGAGCTGGACGATTTCTATGAGATTTACCTATAGCAGCCCCGCCTACCAACCCCCCCAATCCCCCCCCCCCCCCTATGTATACTAGACCCTAGAATGGACTGTCTTGTGCGAGTGATAGACAGTAGCTTTCCCCCCCCCCCACCCCTTGTATTGTGGCAGTGCCTTTAAGCAGGCCATTAATAAATGAACTTATAAAATATCTAAAAAAGAAGAAAAAAAATCGGTGCTCTCGTGCTAAACTTTTTCTATCCTCGTGCGGTTCATGTTAAAAGAAAAAAAGAACAAAAATAACTCAATATAAGATTTAACAGAAATTATAACTTTCTTCAAATATTAATAATAAACATTGTCAAGTTTCTTTGTGGGTGTGGGTTTGACTTGTTCGTTTACTCAGGTGTAAATATGTACTCCTGGGACTCTGAGGATGCACTCGAATTTACTCGGCACCATTTACTGTAATCCTGATGGGCATGTTGTAAGATTTTAAATACGGTTTTCCAAAGGCCGGAACTTCTTTTTCTTTATATAAGCTTCTGATAGCCAATATATTGTGCTGATGTTCACCATAATTCATGTTCATGAACAGTATTTAATGTGTCCCCGTGTTTCAGGGTTAAATAGTCTTTCATGAGACATTGAGATCAATATTGAACTGTCTGTTAAAGTCCAGCGAAGGAAACTCTTGTAAAGTTTTTGGCCGTTTACAGCAGGCTGACCGCTTGCCCTGATCCTGATCTTGCTACCTTGGACATTTCAGAGACTGACCAGCTCATAAAAGTTGTTTTCTTGTATTGGATTTGAACAGAAAAATTCAAAAAGACACTAATTTGAACCCCTAGTGTGCTGTTTAGTACTTCTGCTCTACAAGAGCTACACTACTGAACAACACTTGAATCCCATTGGTCAATGACATGGTTTATGAGCTGCTCAGAGCGATCAAAGATACATTTTCTGACAGGTCCTGGATCAGGGCTAGGGATTAACCTGCTAACTGACCCCCAACCTTCTTTTCTCCCCCTTTACACACAAGCGCACTTTGTTTTTCCAACTACAAAGATTGAACTAGTCTAAATTGGCTCCATATATCAGTAAAAAAAAAAGAGAGAACTTTATTTAAAATCTTTCCCCTTCCACCATCCTGTATATCAACATCCAGGAAGCATTGTAAGTATGGTAATGCCTTCCTTAGAGCCAGGCTAAAGAGTCAACACTCTTCCAGTGCAGAAAAGTGTAATTCACTGCTCTCTGTTGGCTTCACTGAGTAATGCTTCACTGCGGAGACACTCGTCCACAGACTCAACCTGTTAAAATCCATTGGAATGCATATGTTTATACTGAAATGTGTGTTTTCTATGTTCCACAGCCATCCATCTTAACTTGAAATTAAAGTTTATTATCAATCCGAATACTGTGTGGACTCTAATGTGTATATTGTCTGTCTTAGTGGTGCAACTCCAGGTTATTTCAGTTATCAATAATTCTGCTGATTATTTTCTCATTGTTTCTTTAAAGGTCAGAAAATAGTGAAACAATGTACATCCCAGTTTACCAAAGTCTTAAATGATTTATCTTGTCGGCCAAAATCTCTAAGACACTTATTTTAGAACCAAGAAAGCTTGAAATCTTTCATATTTTAGACATGCTATACTACCCATTTGTGAGACATAGTTTTCTTTTGTTTCTGTTAAGCGCCATTTTGTTTCTTTCTGAAATGTTTGGGCACATACTGTATATATATGTATATGTATATACCTAAAATAAAGAGATTTGCAAATATATCATAGTATGTCGAAATTATCAGAAAAGACAACATGGTATATGTATGTGGAAAAACGTAGAAAAAAAGGTTTAGTATAGTATGTTTTTACATGATAAAGAAGTCATAGTATGTTGAAATATCATGACAATGGTAAGTCGCATATAGCCATCTCAGTATGCTGAACACAAATTGAAATATAAGTAAACATAGAAAAATGATAAGAAAAACTGAATGAAGTATTAATATTTGCATTATAGCCTACTATAATATATGACAATACATATCTAGAAAAGAGAAGTAAGAAATATGTCAAAACATGTTCTCTACACAATATACAAAAGTATTAGAATTGCACAGTAGAATCATATAATTCACTCAATGTTTAAAATATTTTATTGAAAAGCAAATAAATAAATGGATACAACTGTTAAATAGCCTACAATATCAGATATTAAACCAACTGTAGTCCATTCCACCAGACTCCATGCCTGTGTTTGCGCATGTCACTCTCTCCACCTTTAAAAGCATCAGAATCAGAAAGAGGGGAGAAAGGGAGGCGACCGCACAAATACAATGATCTCAGAAACTGGGAACGACAATCTGAAGGAAGACTATCTCCAATCGGAAGCGAGCTATTACCCAGACTCCCCCGTCTCCTCTTCTCCCGAAGCCGGGCAGCTGAGCAGGAGGCGGGACACCCTGACCGGCAGCGGCAGCATCATCCCGGAGGAGAGCGGCTCCATCCAGCGTCTGGTCTCCTCAGCCGCCTCCAGCATCATGACATCGGGGGAGTTCATGCAGACCGCTCCCCTGCTGGCGCACAAATCCAAAAGGAGCCTGCTGTACAAGGCGCTGTGCTTCCTCCTGCTCGTCTTCCAGGGCGGCATCCTGGACTTCTACCTCATCATCTTCACCGACCTGTACTGGTGCTCATGGATCGCCACGGATCTGGTGGTGATCTCGGGCTGGGGGATTTTCTTCATGAAGAACGCGCGGAGCAAGAGGGAGCGGGCCTGCGGCTTCCACCAGAAGAGCTCCATCTTCGGCTGTAACCTCGGGGAGTTCACCTACGCCTACCTGGCCTGGCTCATTTATGTCATCGCCTGCACTCCCAAGGTGGTGCTCATCCTGGAGACGTCTATCCTGGACCTGATCGAGCTCAAAGTGCCGTGCGGAGTGACCGGCTTAAAGATCATCATGCTGCTGTCCGTGCCGCTGCTCTTCTGCCTCATCAACTCCATCATCGAGGATCTGAACGGGGCGACACGGCACCGATCCCAAAGCTGCTTCCTGAGCACTTGCCTGGACCTGCTGGACAGCTTCACGCTGGTGGAGATGCTGCTGAGGAGCGAAATCCCCACGCTGTACCTGAAGTACACCGTAATCTCGGTGTATTTCGTGGCTCTGGCCGTGCCGACGATCTGGCTTTACGAGCTCACCGCGTCCGAGCTGCGCTTCCGGTGGCTGTGGGCCCGCTTCTGTGCGAGCCTGGTGGTCAACGCCCCCCTGCTGGTAGTCAGGTGTTTCCAGGTCTACGTCTACGGGATGCCGGTGTCGGTGTTTATGTTCAAAAACATGTTCTTCTTAGTGTGTAGGTTCTTGGAGCTGGTGGAGCAGTGCGTGGCGGTTCGCGGGGTCCGGAAGCTGGCCGGAGGCGGAAACCCGGCCCAGTTCTCCCACTGCGTGTCCGAGAACGACATGTGTCCGCACGGATACGTCAACACCCTGGCTGTCACCCAGTCCTAGAGCCCGGCCTGGGGCCTGGAGCTGCCTGCGTTCAAGACAAAGCTGCAAATAGGAAAATCCACTTTCAAACTCCTTCTTCCAGATAGACAATAAGGATATCACAATAAACCTAGCCTACTTGAAAGGCAGCCTATTTAGATTGATCATTACACGAAACAGGAATAGGGTACTTTGAAAAATGATAATAAAACAAAAGGAAAAAGTAGAACTATTAATCTATAGGCTATACTTAAAGAGTCACTTTATCCCAGTTACAAAAATAATTATTTTCTTATATATATCCAGGGGCCAACATAGTGGTCGTGAAAAGAAAATGTTAGTACCACTCACAATATAAAAAATGGCATTTGTCCTCGCACAATTTTCGTTGTCAGTGTTCATTACGAATAAATAGTCTAATTTCTGAAAAGAGATGTGGCTTTTTCGACATATTTCATTATAATTTATTTCATATTTTTCAACAGATATACTATACTCAGCTTTTTGACATATGAAACCTCAAAATGCACCCATTCTTATATATTCAGTATAAAATAACACCATATATATAGTATGTTGGAAGGCTCCCAAGATACCCTAATGTGGCTTTTTCGTACACTAGCACTGAAAAATAGTTATTCATGATATGACCCCTTTAAATGCAAGGCCTAATGAACCATACAGCCATGCAGAAAAAATATAACATGGCTTGTAGCTGCAGCCCTATATAATATTTTACATCAAATGACCACAAAGTAAAGCAACCGATAGGACCTAAGGCGTTCAGGGACTCTAATAATCCCACCCAATAACCACATTGTAGTTATGATGAATACACAGATTAATAACAACAGGAAAAACTCTTTTTTCAAAGCAGTTGGATTTTGTTGACAGGGTTTTTTGCCACACTGCAATATTGGATAACTTCCTCTTTGACTGATCTTTTTTGAAATTTCTACTTGGAACATTTCACATGACAGGAGAATGGATTTTCCGATTTTTGGACATGTCTGGAACACATCATCTGTACCAGCCTTACAATGCTCTCCTTCCATAATCTACAGGTGCTACAGTCAAACCAAACACCTGCAACAGCCTACAAGCAGAAGAGCAACTGTAGTGAATTGGACCTCGTTGAGTTGTGTGTTTTCTGTCTGTGAGTTTCACCGCTGCACTTGAATGGAGACGGCAGATGGACTTGGTGTCGTGTTGGGACGTAAAGTGCAATTTTTAGAATCTTCTGGATTGATTGACCAGGACTCTGCTCCCTCCTTGTACACCAGTGTTTTCTATTGGTAGAAGTATTACTGAGAGTAGACACATATGTTAGATCCGACAGTGCCATGACAAACAGGTTTTCTACAGCTTTTTCAAATCGACCCCTGGCCAGCAGGACCTTCTGTTGGCCTCACTGGCTGTGCTACTGTTTTAAAATTGTTTTCATTTCTGGGATCAGAAGTCCTCAAAGATCACTGTATTCAACAGCCCTCATTTAAAGAGCCTCAGTTCTCTGGGTCACCTCAGCTCTTCATTTCTTTTTAAACACACCTGTGAGTCATGTCTGGAACTATAGATATTAGTATTCCTGTTTTAGAACTATATGGAATCCCATTTCTCCCAAAATATGTTACAAGTAATAGGAAATTGGTGGTGATGAAATATTGTGCTTATGTCTGTCGAGATGATCATTATTGTAACTTTTCTCGAATCCCTGTTTTTTTCATGTCCAGTTCCAGTACCTCCAGACTAGACGAAGAAAAGTACTCCTTTGTAATTGTCATGTACATTGTTGGTGAATGTTTTATAATTTACACAATGTCTGCCAGTGAACCAGCCACCTGCTCGATTGTGTGCGTTGAAATGAACGCAGTAGGAAGTCATTTGGTGTTTTTAGGGGGGTTCAGTGTCAAGAGTTTGAGATTTCCAGTCATAAATGGTAGAACTTAATCAGTCCAAATCTTAAGTCTTTTTTTTTTTTACGATCTTTTGTTGTCAAAGGTGCCAACACTGCTAATAGTGCAACCATATATTCAATGTTTATTTAGGTAAACTTAAGAAGAAGATACGTTAGAGTTGACACATGCTTGTGTGCAGTGGGCGACTGCATGCACTGAGACAAAACATCTAGACTGTTCCAAATCTGATTATGGAAGTCTGACTGGTGATCCATTGAACATGTTTTTTTTGTTGCTTGTTTTTTTTCAGACTTTACCTTAACATTATGGCATAGATACAATCTATATATAACAATCAATATAGGAACTTTTGGTTTAGAGAGCTTGAAGAAATTCATACCCACTTGGAGGAAAACATGAATTCCATAAATCCTATAGTGGTGCCTCTCGTGGCCCAAATGACTATTACAACAACACACTAATCTAAAATGTTACCGACATTTTACAAACAAAAACGATACAAATGTAGATAAGACCTTTAAAATTGATCACCAGATTGTTTTGTTCTCACTTGTCTTGCGTCTTCCTTAAATAATCAATTGAATCGAGTAAAAAGCGACAACATGCTGTAGCCAACCGGTTGTGTTTATCCACCTTGATGTGTCGACGTGTGAACGTTTAGCTCATTATGAGTTGAGACAATCTGCTTCCAAGTGTTTGACGGGAACAGCACGCTTGAAGAATGACTGTGGGTACACTATGTGCTAGTGGCAGTGGTAATGTACATAACAAACATGGCAGATTAAAGTATATTATATAATCAAAAATATGTGAAGTGAAGACAGGTGCAATATGGGTCAGAGGAGTCGGAACAGATTTTAGTGCCTATTATTTTGGAGCTCATAGTTTGTGAGTCCCGGAAGTGAGGTAGCATTTTTGCTCTTCAAGTTCCCTCATCTTGAAGTCAATGGGTTTTCTGAATGGATTTTTGGTTATATGCCTGAAATAAGGCGTGTGATTAACACAAGCTTCAAAGACTTTTGAGGCTTTTACATTTTTTAAAAGAGGGTGTTGCTAGCTAGCGGTTAAATGAGGCTAACGAGTTCATCACCACTAAGAAACTGCAGTGCTTGGTGTAGTATGATTATAGCTAGATTGTTATGCTTACAAAACATACAGTGGTGTTCATTTGATAAGTTTAGTTTGATCAAACTTTGATGAACAAAACATCTAAGTATATTTAACTCGTGTTTTCCACATCATGAATCAAAGGAACCAGCGAATGCTAACTTTTGGGTTGTTTTCAAAATGTACATCACCCCTGCAGCACAGTTTTGAGGGGTATCACAGTGAGGGTATACAGGGGTATCACAGTGAGGGTATGTGTGATTTCCTTGCTTTATTTGCCTCTCTGTGAGGGATCAGTGTATGCAGGTCAGAGGTTGTGCCTTGTGAGCAGTGCGGCTGCTGAGGGGTCAAGACTGAGGAGGAGGAATGTCCATCATAAAGGAACTGACCAGAGTGTTGTCAAGTTGTATCCCCTTCAGTACAAATCACAAATAGTTTCAGGTCTCTGCAGGGGATTCTCATGCCGTGTTGAGATCAGCGGATATCTAGGGAAAAGCTAACTTAAAACATGCTCAGAAATGTCTAGAATTGATGAACAGTAGAAGTGTGAGACAACAACAACTTATTTATAGATGTAACTAATCTAACTTCACTATTTTTCACACAAAATCAGGCAATTCTCCTTTAAAAGGTCCTGACAAACTAAATTGCTCATGAACAATCCGAAATCTTGTGGCATTTGTTATTTTAAACAATAATAATGCTCATATTTTCGACCAATGAAATGGAGTGATATACAAAATTGACAACCTAATCTCAATATAGCTTTTCCCAGAGTTCAAAATGAGCCTTCACTCTTAACAAATATATAATGCTAGATGGATAACGTTGGCTGCTGTTATGAATATGATACGAGGTTATCCTGACTTACAGCTTCTATTTGTTTGTCGCTTATCATATATTGCCAAAGTATTTCAGAAATGTTATATTTTATACTATTGTGTTATTTCCTTGTGCCAGTAATCTGCAATGCCTTTGCAAATACACTGTTGTTAGCGCTTTGTTACAATCTTTTTTGGATTTGCACATGAAGCTCATCACTCAGTTATTATTATGGAGCTCTAAGCTGAAGTATGTTTGACCTTTAACCTGCATGGACGCGCACAGTGCAAAGCTACACTGGAACAACCAAAGGCTTTAATAGACGGATATTCAAAAGAAGCCAATCATGCTACTCAGATTTCTATGTCATTCTTTAGCCTAGGTGCAATGAAAAACACTCTCTTGTCTTACATTATATGGGCTTTCTTTTTGATCCTAATTTGTTTACAGGGAAATATCATTGCTGTTGTTTACAGATAGGATTCTACCTGTACTGTAAAGTTGTGTAGTGTATATCTGTACTGATATAATATATGTACCGTAGATGTAAAACAGAGTATTATGTGGTCGAAACCTGAAATAAATCGGAGGAAAGTGTACAAAGTGATTTGTGTGTGATGTTTATTATTGATCAGTTGATAACAGATGAAAAGGACCGACCATGAAACCAAGATAAAGGCTTTTTAGAGACCAACTTAATGATTGTTATTACCAAGCAACATCTCCCGAAGGATAGATTCATTTACTCTCCTTTTGTATTGTGAATGTAATATTGGTGGTAACTTGATTAAGTCAATTATATACTATGTAAGCACAACAAATAATAAGTCTTAAAACTATTTTTTACACAGTCTATAAAGCAGTGATTGTGCCAGAAAGAAAGTAGAGCTTTCAGACTACCCTTCAGATTTTATTTTATTACATTCTTTAAAACATGAATAGATGTTTCTCATATATCCACATGTAAATATAACAACCAGTCGAGGCTGCTGTGAGCGTGCACACAAGAATTATGAAAAAAATGTATCTTGTATGTCCAGCCTATTGAGGAGTCTAACTAGTAAGTGCAGTAAGAAACACAAAAATACGAAAGATAAAAAAATGAACTTGTTGGTGGCTATAATTAAATGTGTTATTTCAAAGCTCTCTTTGTGAAGTAGTGCCTACACAAGTGAGACAGAAATGGCACATGTTTTCAATCCCTAACCAATCAGAGACTCTCAAGTGATTTCCATGCTTTAAATACTGACCAATCAGAATCGTCCCAACTGATTAGAAGGAGTTTAAGAAGATGGAACAGAAATGAGAAAACTGCAAAAAAAAAAGTAATCTTTCTTCTTCCATCTCTTGATTTAGGTTTATAATGTTCTGGTCTCAGCAAACCTGGATCAAACAACACACAATTTATTGGATATGAACAGATCTACATGTACGTCCAAGTGTCCACTTGTTTGTCCCTTCAAGGCATGACCTTGTTCAATTGTCTTCATTTGTTATGATCAAACAACATATAAATACTCAATTGGTTATTCTGATCAGAAAATCATCAGCAAACATAGGATTTGTAACATGCCCCACACCCCAGAAATACCTATGTCTCCGGCGCGCCTACACCCTCCTACGTTGTGATTGTGCACGTGGTGTCGGTTAAAGTCAGTGAGGATTTTGTACTTTGAACTTTGAACTGAGAGCGTAAGTCCTCTTCAGGAATCTATGTCAGGGTATCCCAAATCAAACAGCTGCTCCTGCAGTCTTCTCAGGGCCTCCATTGGATCCTCTTTTAAAGCTGATTCATTCTGGGAGGACATCTTGGAGATGTAGCCCTGATCAGACCCACTGTTAGGACCCTTTCCTGCGGGCTCCAGAACCTCGTCTTCCTCGTTCTCCACTGGCTGAGAGAGGACGGCTTCAGACGGAGGGAAATGTACACTCTGCATGCTGGTACAAGAGGAGTCTTGAGGTTTTATAACCAGGGAGTTCTGTAAGGCCACACTTCTCTGGTCCGAATGAGAGGAGGGTTGGTTTATGGGTAGCAGGTAATCCCCTTCCTCATTCTCAGTGGGATTTTGACTGAAGGGTTTTTCCTCGAGGGAGACCCAGTTCTGCCTTGGCGGTTGTGGATTGTTCACAACTGGCTCAACTGTGTAGACAGATTCTGGCCAGGGGCTGCGAGGGTACAGGTGATCCATCAACTCTTCATCCAGGGTTGACAGACGCCTGCACTCAGGGTTAACTACTGGTGTAAGTTCTGCCACTGACCAAATCTGGCGTTGTGGGTTCAGTTCAGGTGTAAGGACATGAACACCTACTCCATTTTCATTGATTTCTACCTCATTAATGAAGACAGGGAGCCCATCTCTTATTAGAGGAACACACTCGAGGACAGGAGAGATCTGCAGCTGGTCGATGAGCAGGCTGGCCTCAGTTATCACCTCCTCCTCATCGTCCACACACTCCTTCTCAAACCAATCAGGGTTGTCCAACTGGTAGGCCTGGAAGGTTTCAACGGCACACTTCAGATCCCTACCTGAGGGACAGTCAGAGTAATCGTCCGCCCCGATGCCCTTGATGTGGCAGACCTGATCCGGCTGATATTTCTCAACGTCTAAGATGCGGAAGTACAGCTCCTCGAAATGCTTCATCAGCTTGTACTTGACGCCAATGTCAAAAACTGACGGTACGTCTTGCTCCCCGCTGATGTCATCGAAGTACGCCACCATGTACTTGCCCAGCATGCCCGTGTGATGCATGTCAGGCAGGAAGAGGTTGAGGAAAGGAGTGAGCATGTCGTCGGTGGGGGACAGAACGTCTTCCCTCAGTTTCACCGGACCTTGGCCGCACATGGCCCTCCACTTGGCCTGAACGCCTCGCGAGCACAGCACCAGGATTTTGTCGGAAGGATTTTTGAGCTGTTGTCGCTGCCACTCGAGCCAGCGAATGCGCCCGACCACGCCGATGGAGGTGGTGTCCAGCAGGTCCACCAGCACCTCGGTGCCACACTGGGCCTGGAGGAAGGCGCACAGTTTCAGCACCACGTCCCTGTAGAGGCGGTGGTCTTGGGAGTAGATGACCAGCACCTTGGGAGGTTGTTTAAGCTGCTGTGGTTGATGTATTTCATCTCCCACAGGTGGCGCGATAACAGCAGGTTTCCCTGAAAGTCCATGAGAGCATAGATGAATGCCATATGCAAATTTAATTTAATTTAGCCTTAACCTATAGAAAATAACCTCTATAACACACTACTGGAAAGGGAAGTCTCTAAAAAGCATAATGAGGTCTCTTTAAAATGTACTGTATATGCGACTTACTTGGCTTCCTACAGAGGAGGCACATCATAACGGTCAGCACGACACAGAAAAAGACCACTCCCACAACGACAAATGTGTACACTTGGACATTGGGGGCTTCTGTTGGCTTCACTGTGGAAATGAAAACACAGATCACTGATTAGCATTTCCTTTGAGGTGCAGTCGCTATGGCTATTGTATTGACTGCCATGGCAAATGTGTACATTTATAGCCCTTTGGTGCCACTAGTTGGTAGAAGGTACCAGTATGGAGTTTCAGTATGGTTCATTCAATCTGATTTACTTTAAGTTTAGCCCATAATGGCTCATGATTTAGGTCCAGATTTCACCTAGATGTAGTCTAATTTGTAAATGACATCACATTTTATATCTTGATGAAAACTGGCGTTGTGTTTACACAATACCCAAAACTCACCTTCATATTGTATTAAAGTATGTAGTGTCAAGTTTACAACTTCTTTTTACTTACATCCTCATTCCTCACATTCAAGATAAGGAAGAGAACAAGGAATTGAGGAAACACATATTTGTTAGCTACATTTCCTTGTATAAGGTGATTATTAACTGTACAAGATGTATGTAAAACACGGTGTGTTGATGAAGGGAGAGTCTATCTATCACCACTTATCTCTCCTGGTTGTTATTCAATATTTATTGCCTTTTTTCAAAGGCTTCGTACCTGCCGAAGGACCAGGACAAATATTCACATTTCTCCTTTTACGGGCACAGTCCGTACCACATTGTAGGAATATAGGTTTGATCTGCAGGCAAGAATAAAGACATGTTAACACATTTGATTATAGAGGGTGCAGAGTCCTACCAGCTGGGAAAAGACAGTTAAGTAATACATTACCATGGTCCATCACTCAGCAAAACAGATTTGAAAATATTTACCTCAATGACAAACTGGCAGCAAGTTTTCGGCCATTTGTCAAGTTTGAATGTTGCATTCAGGGTCGTCTGATTTCCCTGGGGAACAGAGAGTGATGATTGAGGCACGGCATTTAAGAGTAGTGAACAAGAAGAAGATGCTATAAGAACACTTAGAGAGGCAAATGTAAACTCAAAATGTTGATTTGCCTTTAATTTGATTAGGGTGCACCTGATTAAGACTAATGGAGTGTGATCCAACTTCTCTCCAACAAATTCCACCCCCATACAATACAATAGACTTTAATCTGTAATACAGACTACAGTTCAGAGGCAGACAATAATATTTTAACTAATTATACTCAGAATGTATGTGATTTACAGGACAATAATGTTTAATATATAAAAGTGTAAACCATTATTACAGTATGTTTCATTATTTTCTCTCGTCTTGGGCGCAGAACCAATCGCTGATCGTTGCTACCCGAAAACTATGCGAACAAAACATAAATTCAGCCAATTAGCGTCCTCAGATCTGATGGCCAAGGGGCGACAAATTCAGCGCCCAAGGCAGTCTGTGCGTGGGAACACTTTGAGGTAAAGTTACAGCATTTGATGAAGATGGCTGCTTGTACTTCTAGAGACCCCGGACCCAGTTTATACTTTATAAATACTGTAAACTATGTCCAGGACAAGGTGTTTGGACGTTTTGATTCATAGTTAACCACACTGAAGATTATGGAGGTATACCACACTACTCACACAGCTGACAACTATTTCTGTGTGACAATGCACTACTCCGTCCTTAAGAGATCTAATTAATAACTAGGCTACATCGAGCCAATTTTGATGATTCTTTTGAGGAGTTTTTTTGTAAGGTCAGTACTAAACAGTCAGCAGCCTTTGTAAGCCCTTCTACAACCAGTCAGTGAAAACCCCCCTGGAGTGCCAGTCAGATACTTTGAATCTGTTGATTAGTCTTCTAATATATATATGTTTTTCTTTAAAATTCAAGAGTTGGGTGGTCTGTGTTTTGAAGAAGATAAAACGTACTTTAGAAAGGACCGATGGAGAACTGCAGCTAATGCCTCAGTGGCTTGCAAATATAATGAGCAGTCTTTTGTACAATAGGCGGAAAATAGGACACACAGTTTCCTGTACTGAAAAAAAACTGGGGTGAAAAGTAGGCTAAGGTACAAAACACAGGATGTGGTATTGAGCACAAAGCCAGATACAGTAATCTTCTGTGTCAAATCGCATGTCATCTTCCATGTGAGCTACCCTACTACACATAGTTAGAGAGGCTTGACGTGACCTTACCTTGTATGTATGGGTATAGATAGTGATACTGGAGCTGCTAACAATGACTATGTACTCCTCACAGAGTGGGTCAGGAGTGAAGCTCACAGCCAGTGTAGATTCTCCGCTGA